AAAAAAAAAAAAAAAAAAAAAAAAAAAAAAAAAAGTATATTATTTAAAGATATCAAAGTAAACAACAGAAGAACTAAAAACAAAATTGGGAGAAAGAAGTGGTTCCCCCTGAGGAGTAACAGTATTTCTCATAAATTCTGTGCCATCTGATATTTTTATGCACATGCATCTATTACTTTGATGAAAAATTTAAAAATTAACACTTGTGTATGGTTCAACATTCCAAAGCTATGTAAAGGTACAATTAAGTCTCCACACCTCCTTCCTACTTCCTCTCTGCTGAGGTGACTGATGTTTCCTTCCAGATATTCTGTGTATTTCCAAGCAAGTACACTGGTATGTCATGAGTAGATTTCTCTTCCATATCCTTATATGAATGGTAGCATTCTATACAGACTGTTCTTGTACCTTGCCTTTTTTAATTAACAGTGTATCTTGGAGATATTTATGTATCACTACTGAGCGTCCTTATTTTTTTTGGTCATGCCATGCGGCATGTGGGACCTTAGTTCCCCGACCAGGGATTGAACCTGGCCCCGTTGCAGTGGAAGCAGAGTCTTAACCACTGGACCGCCAGAGAATTCCCCTCATATTTTTAATAGCTGAATATTATTCCATCATTTAGATGTATCATAATTTATTTAATCAGTTCTATACTGACAGACATCTGCTATTTTCCCCAATTCTTTGCTGTTTCAAACAATGCTATCATAATAAATTGACAAATATTATAAGAAAAAACTTTAAGGCATTCTTTGTTTCTGTCTCCCAATTAGATAATGAACTTGGCTTTCTCTCTGCCTCCTTGGTGCCTACCATGGTGCTTGGCATACAGTAGTTACTGTATTTGCTAATTTAGGTTGAACTGAATTTAAATGAGGAAACTAAGCTATGCAAACATTTAAATGAGATACTGTAATTCTAAAATCAAGTTTATGGCACAACAAAGACAAGAGCTTATACAAATCTATAAGACTCTGCACACTCAGTCTTTGTTTTACAATTCATCAGAGACAGGGAAAGTAACAGTGCAACTCAGTTTAGAATAATGCAGGAAAGGAAATGTGGGACAGGGCTGTGGTGATGTAACTGCAATGAACAGATTCCTTGCTTATATGATCCTAGCTTTCTAGATCCCTGATATCCAAGATGCTAAAGAGATTCTAATTCCTCACAGAGATGTTCACATGTATAAGCAGACTATAGAATTCTTAGTGTCTTACTAATGAGAAAAATAAAATGAAATAAAACAATCAATTCCCTGGACTGGAGATTAACCCACCAATACATACATATATCTCTGTCATACTTACTCTGAGCTCTTTTGGGCCTGTATGGACTGAAAGCAAGTGTAGAGTACCCGTCCAGTCTAAAAAAAGAAAGAAAAAAGAAAAAAAGAAAGGTCACACAGAGGATTAATATTGAAAGAGGTATAGCAATTTAGTGGACTCTAACCTAAAACTCAAAGGCCCCTCTGGGAGTGGAAGGTTAGAAGAGACTCCAAAGATAGACTATATGCATAAATCAGTTTCTGTAAGAAGGATCAAATACTCAGTCAAGGGCTTCCCTGGTGGCGCAGTGGTTGAGAGTCCGCCTGCCGATGCAGGGGACACAGGTTCGTGCCCCGGTCCGGGAAGATCCCACATGCCGCGGAGCGGCTGGGCCCGTGAGCCATGGCCGCTGAGCCTGCGCGTCTGGAACCTGTGCTCCGCAACGGGAGAGGCCACAGCAGTGAGAGGCCCGCATACCGCAAAAAAAACCAAAAATACTCAGTCAACATGAGATGTGGCCACAATCAAACATCCACTCGTGTGACAGCAGAGAATTGCTCACAAACATGAGAACCAAGAAACTAAGAATGAGACCATTCAAACTCCTTTTTTGGAAGCTGACAAACTCATGCAGCAACTATTTATAATGACAATAAATTTATGATGACAAAGCCAGAAGCATTTCAAATGAAGTATGAAGTTCAAGATAGTAAACTTTAATGTTTTCAGAAAAGAGTGATTTTATGAAGAATATTCATTATTAACATAGATTCTGAGAATATAACTAATGTACTAAACAATAGGAGGACACACTTGGTAAATCAGCAAAATTCATACTTGCAGTGTTAAATTTTCTTTTTGTTTGAAGTGACACATAGTAAAACCTCTTGATCTGACTGTAAAATTCAAACAGAAGCACTCTAAATATAGAATAGCAAGACTAGCCATTGATTGAGCTGCTTAACTTCTCTGAGTTTCGGTTTGCTTATCCATAAAAATTGATAATAATAATCCTCACAGGTTGCTGTCAGGGTTCGAGTATTTTTATGTAAAACACCTAAAGAGTAAGTGCCATACAATACGTGATAAATGGTAGCACTTGTTACTGTTATTAGCCTCCACTCCTACCACCGTGGTCAAACATCCATCATCTCTTTCCTAGATTACTACAGTTGCTTCCTAACTGGTTTCACAGACGCCATGGACTCTGCACCCCCTCCCTCCCTGTCCCCCCAGCCCCACCCCCAGTTATCTTCCAGACCTCACTGTAGGATGACCACATGAGTTACCATGCAAAGAGTTACCATGGTACCATGGTACCAACGTACCATGTCCTGGTTACCATGTTACCAGGACACTTTCAAGAAGGAAAGGTGCTAACTGAATAGGAGACTGGGACAATGGGTGGAACTGGGACTGACAGAGGCAAGCTGGGACATGTAGCCATGTTCTGCCTCACTCTGCTGCAGCCACACTGACTTCCTCGATGTCCCCTAAACATGCCACACTCACCTCAGGGTCTTTTCACTGGCTATTTCCTCTGCCTGGAACGCTCTTCCTCTTCCCCCAAGAAATCCACAAGACTTGCTCCCTCACTTTCTTCAGGTCCTGACTCAATGACCCTTCTCATTGAAACCTTCCCTGGCCACCCTATTAAAATTGCAAAAAGATTTTTCTCTATTCTCTGTGTCTGTGTGTTTATACACACACGCATGCGCATGTGCACACACACACACACATAGACACACACACACACACACACACACACACACACAATACCTTTGTATTTTTATCTTCTATGAAACAGGAAAATATAAGTCCTACAAAGCCTTGATCCATCATCTGGTACATGGCTTGTGTACGAACATCTGCAAATAAACAAAAATAAAAATCTGCTGTTAAACCCTATCTCCCAGACATGAAAATATAAAGATAACAGCAGCATACAATCCTCGCGGGATTCAGATTCTAAAGGCAGAACAGGGGTACATCCTAACGACAATATTATTGTCAAAGTATAAACATTTTACTAGGTTAGGGAAATACTACAGGAGTCGGCAATTAAATAATAAAATTTATTACTAATTCTAGGCTGCCTAGCCCACAACTAGCCCTGCTATGAAATGTAGCATAGAAAGAAAAAAATGGAAAGCCTATTATCCCAAGAACACCTGATAATTTCTTCCAGGAGGACTCCAAAAGAAAGGAAGGCATTCGAAGGAGACAGCAAGATTTCTTAGAATAAGCCTTTTGATGGACAGCTTCTAGGGAAGTGAATATATTAGACTTGATACTAAAGAATGGCAGTGTAGAACTATCACAGAGGAAACTATTGTATACAAGTGACTAAAACAGAATTAAATACTACATTCTAGGGAACAGAAACAAAATCTCACTAAATGGTTCTACAATTTTTGAAAAGGAAATCATAGACAAGCACCAAGTAACATTTGAAAGGATTAGTTAAAAGATTACCAAAAACTGAACAGAGGCAAAGTTTAAAGATGTGGAGTACTCAGACCATTACTTATGGATACAAAAGATCTGGTATTACAACAAAACAGTGCACAGCATGGTTTGGTCCGGTGACTTATGCCCAGTTAGCTTGTTCTATATGTTCTTAAACATACTTCGCATTGATCTGGATTTTGGGACTTCTACCCAATATATTCCTAAGTAAAGAGTAAGGCCCAACAGTACCCAGCAAAGAGTATGAGAAAAATACTGGCTGAAACAGTTGGTGAAAATAAACAGCACTGTTTGAATGATCTCTGTACCTGCTATATGACCTTGGTAAAAATTTTAATACCTCTAAGCCTATTTCCTCATCAGTTAAATAAGGATAAACATCATCCGTACTTTTTCAGGGTTTTGTATTTTAAAAGCTGCCAGATGTTTTTAGCACAATGCCTAGCACATCAGAGGTACTTCATAATAATTCATTACGTTTCGTTCCATCCACAACCATTGTTGATGAACTGCTGAATCTGAAATGGATTAGTATCCATACTGTGCCACCCAAAGTGCTTCTGTCAAAATCGCCAATGATGCATTTTTGGTTCTCAATTTACCCGATTGCTCCCTCTTTGAAACACTATCTTCACTTGGCCTCACGTTCCCACTCTTCTCATCTCTGTCCTCTTAACTTCCCGGCTGCTCTTTTCCAGTCTCTTGCTGGATCCTTCCCATCTTTCCATCCTCGAAATACTGGCACGCCCAGGGCTCTGTCTTCAGCCATTTTCTCTTCTCCATCTACACTTACTCCCTGGGGGAGTTCATTTAGTTCCACGACTTCAAATCTCATCTCTATACTGGCCACTCCCAACTCCTACTCAATAAACTCTAGTTCCAGTCTTCTACCCAAACTGCCTTATCATATATCCAATTGTGTACCTGACAGACTTGGTTGTCTTAACACTGTGCTCCTCAGGGCAGTAGGTCCATGAACTATTTGTTACCTGTTCACAAGGAGACAAGAGCTTGAGCTGGAATGGAAATTAATGCTCTGCTTCCTTCAATGACGAAGTCTTAAGGAAAATGTAAGCTGAACTAAACAATATGCTAAGTTGACATAGATGATTTTTTTTTTTTTTTGGCCATGCCAAGCTGCTTGCAGGATCTCAGTTCCCTGACTAGGGACTGAACCCGGGCCACAGCAGTGAAGGCCCAGAATCTTAACCACTAGGCCACCAGGGGACTCCCAACATGGAGGATTTATGTTTGGTGTAGGCTCCTTATCAAATTGGTCACAGACCAAAGCCAGGCTAGGTGAGCATCACTTGCCTACCAGACATTTGAAACTCAACATGTCCAAAAGCACACACTTGATTTCCTCCACAAAATCTCCTACTCCCAAAGCCACACTGGCTCTTCTGCTTTTCCTCAAATATTCCAGGCATGCTCCTCCTCAGGGCCTTTGCACTGGCTATTCCTCTCTGCCTGGGACGCTCTT